CCCCAAAACCCCAAAACCCCAAAACCCCAAAACCCCAAAACCCCGCCTGAATTTAATTAATAGAATTTAGAATATTTTGTAAAATGGAAAAAGAGTATTCACAAGAGTACGAAGAAAGTGATAACAACAGAGACCCTCAGTTGATGCCTTCCGCACAAGAGAACATTAACCCTTACATGTTTGAAGAGAGGCATAGGATGATGCCTGAGTATCCAGATATGCGATCAATGCAGTCCCAGGCACATAGTCTTAGAATGATGAACCCCTACCAGCATCAAATGGTTGTCCCTCTGAATGATCTGTCATCAATGCTGGATGAAAATAAATAAAATGCTTCTCTCTGCTACAAGACATTCTAATAGCGGTGATGTAGAAGAGACTATCAAAGAGCTTAAAGGAATTCACCATAACTTAATAATCTTAGCAAATGCAGCAGACTTACAACCAAATTCCCGCTTTGTACTTAAAGAGCAACGTGAATATGTCTCCCAAAAAGATTTAGCTTACTTCAACCTAAAATTTCCGGTCCAAGAAACAATTTACGGTCAGAATGACTCTGAAAAGAAGAAGGATTCCAAGAAGAAGAAACCTAGACAGATCAAGCGTCCTTGGACAGAAGAGGAGCAAACTAAATTTCTCGAAGGTCTTGAAAAATTCAAAAATAATATAAAATAAAATCTCTGACCATATCGGAACTAGGACAATTTCCCAAGTCCGATCTCATCTCCAAAAGCACAAATTAAAGCTCGAAAAGCATAAGAAGAGGTAGGCCTTTCCCCAGTAACTTTAGAACTCAGGAAAGCCAAAAGAAGGATCCTTCCACCACTAATCACCCAACCAGAGGAGGTGAGTAAGGACCAAGTTACAGAGTCAGCTCCAAACTTGACCAAAATCTAATGAACGTTAATTTCTATATAATTACTTTGGCCTGCTAAATCTGGACATACCTCTATATAGCCTAGCAAGAAAGTGATAGGTACCACAGAGATATAGCAAAGCAGGGATGTTCAACCATATAAGTCATTTAAGGGGTTTTGGGGTTTTGGGGTTTTGGGGTTTTGGGG